GAAGAGAAGAGAAGAGAAGAGAAGAGAAGAGAAGAGAAGAGAAGAGAAGAGAAGAGAAGAGAAGAGAAGAGAAGAGAAGAGAAGAGAAGGGAGAGAGGGAGGAAGTGAGAGGGAGGGAGGCGGGGTTAGGAGCGTGGTTCAGTGGTAGATCACCTGCTCTCATCAATGAGGCCCCTGGGTTTGATTCCTAGCCCGGAGAGGCTAGAGAGGGATGGGAAGAGAATGTGAAGAACACAAGCTTCAGGGACTGTAAGAAAAACAAAGTTCAAATCGTACTCCACTTCAGCTACGCATAAAATAAAACAACAATAAAACGATCGCTTTACAGAAACTCAGTTTAAAAGTGGTGTTTACCTAGCTCTAAACCCATTGAACCGGACATACAGTCCTGGGTTGCATTCCGGGGCATCGCCAAACCCGAGGACTACAATTCCCAGGATGCTGTGGGCCAGTCCGCGTCACGCCTGCGCAGAAGTAGTGTGATGCCGCCTCTAGCCTGGTGAGGGCTCTGGAGCTCACTTAGTTTCAGGTGCTTATGCCGCCTCAAGCTTGGTGAGGGCCCTGGAGCTCACTTAGTTTCAGGTGCTTAGAGTCCATGCTAAACCCAGTCTGGAGACCTAAATCAGCTTCCTGTGTTGGAGCCTCGGAGCCCTCAGCCCTGATTCCGACTTGTGCGTGTGAGCTATTCGGATCTTGCTCTTCCCAGACCAAGCTCTCACGTCCTTCTGGTGCAGACTCTGAACCAGCTTCAGAAGCTCCGCAGCCCTCAGAAGCCCACTTCCCAGTGCAGTGGTTCCCCTCATCCGGTGCCCGCCCCCCAAACCACCCTTCCTCCCACACAACTGCCTGTCCTTGGCTGCGACCTAGGTGTCTCCTAGGGAGACCCAAGCTGGCATCCTCCGAGATGCAGAGACCAGAGGGCCCTCCGCTACCACCCTTCTCACGTTCACGCCGTGTCCACCAAGAGTTCTCCGCTGTCTGGCTGATCTTTGGAACTTTGTAAACGGAAAGGAGAAAAGCGTGGGAGGAAACCCTCTGCTTCCTATTTGCTTCCTTTGAACCTCAAAGAGGTCGGTGGAGCTGGACAGAGGCCCTTGGCAGGGAAGGGGCTGGAGCTCCGGCCGAAGGAGATTTCTTCTCTCCCCCGTTCTGTCGTGGGGAGCTGGAGCTAAGCAGGAGCTCACCAGGTTCAGCTTTTTGCCAGAGTGGGGTGGATCGTAGATGGGCTACAACTAAGTTGGAGAACAGCCAATGGCGTGCGAGGGTTAGACAGAGCCGTGCGTTACCACCGAGGAGAAAGTGGCCGAGAAAGCTTAAGCAGTGACGGGGATCGGACCACAAAGATGGAAGATATGATGGATGGCACTTTGTTTTAAAACCTAAACATTTCTAACCCATTACCTCCTCTCCATCCCTACTGCGACCTTTTTTTTTTTTTTCTTTTTGACGTTTTTGACGTCTTCGGAAGGGCCTGCCTAGCCCCATCTACAGGCCTCCAGTCCCCCAGCGGCCACTGGAGCTCATCCCTGGCTTCACTCAGTTCCACCTCACCAGAAGCAGAAAACCCAGACTCCGTGGCATGACTGGCCTCCGTCGCTCCACCAGACTTACCTGGCCCTTTCCCTTTTCATGGCCCCATCACCTCGCGACCGATCAGTAACGCTGTAGAAGCCTCTTCTCCTTGGCCTTGTGGTGCCCCCTGCTGGACAGCTTTCTGGAATTACTCCGCAGGACCCCATGTTTTCCTGATTTTAATCATTCTTAGAGTCATCGAGTACTCACACTCTTAGTGCTTTACATATGGTAATTCATTTAAACCACGCAACTTTTTTTTTTTTTAAATGAACAGGGGGTCTGGAGAGATGGCTCAGCAGTTAAGAGCACTTGTTGCTCTTGCCAAGGTTCCGGGTTTGGTTCCCAGCACCCACGTGGTCGCTCGCAGCTGACTGTAACTCCTGCTCCAGCAGACCCAACGCCCTCTCCTGGCCTCCATGAGCACTGCACAAATATACATGGAGGCAGAACACCCATAAACATAAAAATAAAGGTTAAATGTTTTAAATAATTTTATGGAGCTGTAGAGATGGCTCAGCGGCTAAGAGCACTTGTGACTCTTGTAGAGGGCCCTGGTTTGTTCCCAGCACCCACACGGTGGTTCACAACCATCTGTAACTTCAGTTTTAGGGGATCCAGCATCATCTTCCGACCTCCCTAGACTCCAGGCACAGAAGCGATGCACAGACAGACATGCAAGCAAGACACCCATACACATAAAAATTAATAGAAATACTAAGAATCTTAAAAGGGCTGGGAGGATGGATTAGAGGGTAAAGTGCTTGCTCTGCACGCATGAGATCTGAGTTGAGTCCCAGCTCACATAAAAAAGCAGGGCACAGTAGCGTGTGTTTGTAGCCCCAGAATGGATTTGGGGACAGGTGGATCTCTGGAGCTCAATAGCCAGCCAGCTGGCCTATTCCACTAGCCCTGGGGCCCAGTAAGAGACCCTGCCTCAAAAACACAGATAGGAGCTGTACGCAGAGTTTCTCTGTCTCCTAGCAACCACTCCCAAATAACGATTCAGAGACTTATTATTAATTATAAATGCTTGGCCGATAGCTCAGGCTTGTTACTAGCTAACTCTTACATTTTAAATTAACCTATATTTCTTATCTACCCTCTGCCACATGGCTGTATCTTCTTTTAACATCACTCATTCATCTTGCTTCTCTCTGTGTCTCTTGAGACTCACGAGACTCCACCCTTCTTCCCAGTAGTCTCTCTATCCCGAAAATCCTGCCTAGCTATCGGCCATTCAGCTTTTTATTAACAACGAGAGCAACACATATTTACAGTGTACAAAGATTGTTCCACAGCAAGGGGCTGACAAAATGTCTGGGGCAGCGAGGCTTGGGAGGAGGAGTAAAGGCGTTTGCTGACGATCTGAGTTCAATCCCTGGGTACGACGATACAGGAAGAGGAGAGAACCAACTTCTGCACACACTGTCCCCTCATCACCCTCTCCCACGAACACCACCACTAATAATAATCATCACAAATGTGAGTTTTTAAAAATTTAAATCTAACAAGATAGGCTGTGCCTGACTAGTAACGTCCAGGGTTAGCTCTGGCCTCCACATGTATGCACATGCACACACACACACACACACACACACCCCACATATGCACCCTCCCTCATGAAGATATGCATACACACAAAAATAACAATAATAAATGACAAGATTATCTTCCCCATCCTACAGGTTCAGAAATGGAGGCCCATTTGCTTAAGACCACACAGGCGATAAGTGGAAGGTGTAGAACTTGAACTCCGTCAGTCTGGCCCCCAAGCCCCCAGTTCTATCCTTGTTGCTAAGCTGCCTGTTACCACGGCATGCTATACAGTGCAGGAGGTGCAGGTTAAGAATAAAGCAGGGGATGGGTGGGCAGGCAGGGCATATTGGATAGGGGTTTTAAACACAAGTAGTGACAAGCAGAGCTTGTTGCCAGGACTGTAGGTGACGACTGAGACGGTGGAGTAGACCATTGCTATGGTGACAGGGTGAAAAGGAAACCAATAGAGGCACTTGGCAGACGGAACAAAGACAGGGCAGCTGATGCCATAATAAGGGTATAGGTGGCACTCAGGGGGGATGCGGGAGAATGGATGTGGAAACTGATGAAGGAGCTAGGCCAGCAGGTAGGGGTCACAGTTACAGAAGTCACGGAGAGCATAGTCCAGGGCTGATGAGCTTTCAGACCCCAGTGGCAATGGGATGGCTCTGAATATAAGTCTTGTGAATGTTCTAGAACCAGGCATAGCACCTGAGTAGCTGGGCTCCAATCCTTCACCCTCAGCATCTACCTCTTCAATCCTTCCCCAGCGAGGCAAGCCCAGAAATGCTCTGCACAATGTCAAAGCTCACACCCCCACCCTTTGGGAGTCTGTCACAGGCCTGCAGCCTCTGGTTCAAATAAAAACAGTTTTTGAAAGCCAGGGGACGCCACAGACAGCAGAGTGGAGGTCATTCTCTGTCCAGGGTTTTCAGGTCAGGAACCAAGCTCGAGACTCCAGGAGCCTTCAGTTCAGGGCTCCCATGCATGGTACCCACCCACATCCTCTCTGGCTCTTACCTCCTCCTCCCTGCCCACTTCCTGTGTCTGAGCAGACAATGAGGCATCTGATAAGCTGAGAAGGGGAGATGAGGCACCCCGTTAAACTCCGGAAGGAGGGAAAAGTGTGAAGCAGGGGGTTTGGGGGCTCACAGGAGGACATAGAAAAGATAAATGTGGGCGGAGGGGCGGGGGGGGGGGGATCTGCCTTTGCACTCCATCCTCGGGAAGCCAGGAACCTTCATACTCTGAGATGTGTGCCTTGAAACGTAGGAAGTTCGGGATAGGTCATCACCTGTCACTAAGCAATGGCTCAGTGTCCTGGGGGTAGTCGGGAACTAGGCATGCACTAACTAGCCAGGACAGCAGGAGTCCCTGACCAGCAGCTGAGCCCTGGATGCCCACCGTCCCAGGTCCTCCTCAGCTGGGTGCAGGCTGACTGTTGGCATAGGCCTGATCTGGGAAGGAAGCCCGAGCTCGGCGTGTCTGGGCACACACCGAGGCATAGAGTTCTGGCTCAGGGCCCGGGGCCTGGGCCTTTGGCTCAGAGTCCAGCACCACCTCACAGTACTTTATGGGGGTCCCAGAGCTGGGGATCCGACCCTGAGCAGGTCGCAGCTGCAGGCTAGTGTAGCACATCCCTTCCTCTGTAGCCTGGAGAGGCGAGGCTGTTAGATGTTCTCTGGACCCTCGGGAACGGTCCCCATTTCCTTCCCTCCCCTTTTCTTCGGCCAGCTGACTCACCCTGGCCGGGCCTCCAGAGGATGGGTCCTGCTGTTCTGGCCTTGGCTCTTGAGACAGTCGTCCTGAGGCAGGGGAACAGGAATCTGGTCAGCTCCTGCTTGCGCCTAGCATCTCTCTGTCTCCATCCCACTTACCAAGAGCTGGCCGGGCGCGTGTGCCGGGTTCCTCCGCCTGCGGTACCTACCTGTCTGTAAATAGTGCAGGTTCCCATACAGGGGGATTTCTTCCACGGACTCTCCAGAGCTGCAGCACAGAGTTCGGGAGATGAGTGCGGACTCGTTTAGTTGAGAGAGAGTACTCAGTTAACCCACCCCAGTTGTCTTGTACTCACCGTCCCTGTCCCTCCTGGCTCCTGCTCCGACGCGTGGCCCACTGGGACAAGAGTGCAGCCAGTGAAATAAGAAACAGCACCGTCACAGCCCCTAAGAGGGCCCACAGTCCCCACGCGAAGGTTATGGAGGGAATCCCTGCGGGTGTGAGCGGAGGGGGCTGTTACTGACCTGTACGAACCCCTTCCCCAACCAGCATCAGCTAGGACATGGAACCACATAACCCCTCCCCCAGGAGCCCCCGCCCCGCCCAACTCACCCAATGCTAGCAGATGACCCGTGCAGTTGACATCTCCGCTCATGCCTGCTGCTGATGTGAGAGTCGGGTCCATCATCACACTGTCCTGAGGCAAGGGTCTGCCCTAGTCATGGCCTGACAGCTGTCACAGCCCCCCACAAGCCCAATGTCTTCTTAAACCTGGCTTCCACAGCTCAGCATCGCCAAGACTGACGGTGGCAAAGTTGTTGGTTTCCGGGGAGGAAGGCAGAGAGGAGGGATGAGCAAAAGAACAAAAGACCCCGCCCTGTGCCTGCACCTGCGACACCCTGAGCTCTCAACTCTCTGAAATCCCCCACGGCCCTGAGTCCCCTTCACCAGAGAGTAGTCACAGGCCTGAGTGTTCTGTGCCATTGCGGAGGTGACCTGAGACAGGACTAACAAAGACAGGAGCCCGTTGTCGTGAGACGTCCACCTTTTCTCTCTGGCTCACATTGCCATGAAGGAGATGTATGCCTCAGTGAGCAGGCTCTGAAGTGGAACGGTTTCAGAATTCATGGTTCCACTACAGGAAATAGATATATTTATTTATGTATCCCAGGCTTGCTCAAACTCAATATGAACTCAAACTTCTGCCCTTCCTTCCTCCACCTACCTAGTTCTGGAATTACAGGCATGTACCACCATGTCCGGCTGAGATAATATCTGTATATTATTGTTGTTACTAGTATTATACTCGAGGATAGGAAGACAGAGGAGGTTAGATTCCTTCCTCACAACTTAACTCATCCAAACTGTCTATAAGAACCTGACACTCCATTAATTGCAATAAGGGAATCTCTGTCCCAGGCTAATTCAGGCAAATTGGGCCATCTTTGCAGTTATTCACTTGCTAGAGGGAGTTCGAGGGCTACATAGTGAAACCCCGTCTTAGGGGGAAAAATCCTTCACACGGGCTGGCTGGGAGATAGCTCAGTGAGGAAGCACTTGCCTAATAATTGTGAGGGCCTGAGTTTGGGTCTCCAACACCCACATAAAAGCCAGGCTCAGTGGCACACATCTGTAACCTCTGCTTTACATGGTGGCAGGGAAGCAGGTGGATCACTAGAGCTCTCTGGCCAGGCAGTCCAGCTGAGTCGGTGAGCTCCTTGTTCAGTGAGAGAGCCTGTCTCAAAGAATAAAGTGGAGTGTACTAGAGAAGGACACAAGAAGTTGATTTCCGGACTCCAAGGAACATGTGGACTCACATACATGCACGTGCATACACACACACACACACACACACACACACACACATTTTTTTAAAGTTTTATAGATCTTAGTTCTAAATTGTTATGAACAATGATGAGTTCCTATAATGTGTATGCTTCAAATTAGCATTGGGGTGGGGCAGGGTCTTATGTAACCCATTGTACAGTAGAGACTGGCCTTGAACTGCTCCTCCACCTGCTGAGTGCTGGGATCACAGGCTTACTCAGCCAGCACAGCTGTTGCTTATCTTTTTAAAAACATCATAAACAGGTGTGGTGTCTCATGCCCATAATCCTGGAACACTACATAAGAGGCCAGCTGGATTGTATATGAAGCTATAAACAAGTAAATAAACTAAAGACATTGACTTTCCAGAGAAGAAAATTCAGAGAACATTTAGTCATGCAAGGGGCCCTTAACACAAGCAGATCTTAAACCCAGCATTCAAAAGGCAGAGGCAGGCAGATCTCTGTGAGTTCAAGGCCAGCCTGTTCTACATTAGAGGGTTCAAGGCCAGACCAGGCTATAAAATGAGACCCTCCATACATACATACATACATACATACATACATACATACATACATAAAACAATGATGAACTAAGGGTGTACTAGCTCATTGGTAGAACTTGTCCTAAGTATATGCAAGGCCCTGGGTTCAATCAACAACACCAGCCCCTGGCCCAAAATTTAAAACCAACAAAATAGGTACTGGAGGGTCTGGCTCAGAGGTCAAGAGCACTTGCTGCTCTTGCAGAGGACCCAGGTTTGATTCCAACATCCATATGGAGGCCCACAGCCATCTGTAACTCCAATTCCAGGAGATCCAACGTTCTCTTCTGACCACCCAGGGCACCAAGCACAAATGTCTCATACGAGCACACATGAGACCAAGTGTTCCGGTGGTTCAGCCATTATAATGCTGGCTGCTCTTCTAGAGGGTCAGAGTTTGATTCCCAGTACCCATAGGATAGCTCACAACCATCCAATTCTGGGGAATCTGACATTCCCTTCTGGCCACTCTGGCACCAGGCATGCAAGTAGTACACAGACAGATATGTACCCATACCATATGTGAAATAAAAAATTAAAAATCTCAAAAAAAAAAAAAAAAA